CGACACGGCTACAAGATCACCATATCACACTCTTCAAACGACAATGGCGGATTATGTCATTACGACTGCCATCGAGGGGGTCATCCAGCTCGTCCCAAACCAAAGAAAATCAATGGTGACGCTCCACCTTGCTCCACCAACCCCAAAAAGCCACACGTCACCAGATCCATCAAGATCCAGTGCCCATTTCGTCTTACAGGCAAATTGGATGAAACAACCAATACCTGGGAGCTCCACCACGTTCGAATCGGTCACAATCATGGACCGGCGGACACAGAGGCAAAGCAAATGTCTGTAGTGAGTATTTTTTGACAAGCTCACTTTTCTTCATTCAACTTCAGGATATTGAAATTACTGAATTCTGTACTTTGTTTCAAAGGCTGTTCCTATTGTTCCTAATATAGTTTATACACAGGAAATCGACAGTCGTGCTAAAATCGAGAGTCGTGCTACACGCATCTTGCAACTGTCACCAAGAAGACAGGACATCATATTACAGGAGTTGGACAAACTCATAAATCAACACAGTACCATACATTCGGTCACAGTCAGTCTTTATTTCAAAACTACGTTAATTGATAAGCTATGGGCATCAAAGTTTAACAATTATGAATTTCCAGAGTCCTCCAAAGGTCAATGAGGCTGATTCCAACGAAGATGAAGTTGTAAGTATGAACTCAGCCTTTACATATGTTGTGACAACCATTTCACTAACTGATGTGGACTGAATCAGGCTCTAGCCCTTGGATTTTCGAAAGACTTGGATAAGAGTGCCACCGACAAACATGTAGGATTTTGTCTTCAGCAACAGTCAACCCAAGACGACTCGCCTGACTTAGAACGTTCACTCTAGATATCTTTTGAAGAAGACATCGAAGAAGACATCCCAGTTAATCCGGCTCACCTGAGCCAAGAACAAGTTTTCGATCAAACCGCTCCACAATACAAGGGCATACTTACCAAACAATCGAACGAACCTATTTTGAATCGATTTGAAGTTGATGTTAATCAAGCTCAAGAGGACAAAGATATGTTGGATGAACCGCATCTTTTTGTAAAAGAATTCCTGCCTCAAGTAGACAAAGACAAACCCAATGAATCTCCGGTTGGTCAAGTGGAAACAGATGCGAGCAAAGGAGAGGAACCGATTAAACATTTCAAGGTTAGCTTCCTGTATATATGTATGTACAAACCAATGGATTTGACTGCTCTTCTATTTACAGAACAAAAGGACTAAGCGTGTATCATCAAGGACCACAAACGAGGAAAGACCTCCGAGGAAAAATGTGA